TGCGTAACGCCAAAAGCGCATTAAACATGAAATATAATGAAGCCAACTTGTCAATAAGCGACTAATTTGTTCTTCAAGATGCCTCAGTGCTTCATCCGATCAGCACTCATTCGCACTTTTTGAAGTCGCGTTGAGATCTGTAACTGTATTATAAATAAACATGCGCCCTTATTTCCTCTTTCGGCTTATTTTTATCACCTGAAGGAATGAAATTTCACCAAAAGGCATATTAGGTCTATTTCATTTCAAACCCATTGCCTTTTATGTGAGGACAGTACTACACAAAAGAAAACATCTTTAACTAGGTTGAGAAAAGTAACAACAAAACAGATTAACAACACGAAAAGCGGTTCAATCAGTATCACTACGGCAAAAATATAGTGTGTGAAATGCTGCTAGCCGCACCCTAATTCTCCGCAATGTTTCGATATCTTGACCACCCAGATTGACCCAATTCGGTGTGGTGATGATACAGCTTATTACCCTATGGAGAAAACAAATGGATTTTGATTATTGTTTTATGAGTTATCACAAAGTGAATCAAAAATGAACTCATCACTTTCATTTGTACGTTCGGCCTTCAAAAACTAATCCAAAAGCCGTAGGTTAGCGTAGCAACAAAGATAAATTGTAAAACTACATTTGTTAAACTATCACGTTGTATCAAAACCGCAAGAGCATTTGAAAAAACAGCAAAAGTCACCGGTTCTTCATGGGTTCCTGGTAGTAACTTTAAGATTACCACTACGAGCCCAACAACAAAATGCTCAGCCCACATTTGGCGACAGTTCAATGAGTCAAGATAAGTTTTACTCAGAGGTCATTTAGTTTTTGATCAATCATAATTGAACCAAAAATCGATTACGTTTATGCAGTCCTTCGGCAGTATTAGGTATCTCCAGTGTACGATAGCACCATCCTTTGACTGTTGTCAACCTCAAAAGTGACTAATCAGTTTGTCCTTGCATTTTTAACTGGAACAATAAATTTACTATACACTATTTGAGTCATACCTACCCCCACAAATCTCAACGTAGGGAGCCATACCTCTGTTTTAGCCAGATCTACTCATTTTATTATTTCCTCATCTAATGATTAGTTCTTAGATGATTATCGGTCATACCCGATTGTTTTAATCATCAATACAATTTGTGTTTGTAACTTCAGGAAGTACTGAAGACGTGTGATTAGCTTTGGTTTCCATGGTACAACTGACGACAATTTGCTAGCTTCTTAATGGATTTACCACTGAAAATATGTTTCGATTGATAAAAAAAGATAGCTTTACAAAATAAACAACAGGATGGCCAGTTTGATGTCTAGCTACCATGTTACTGCTTGCGCTTTGTGCAAGGCGAAAGCTATCCGGAGCTTCGACGGAATATATATACCTGTTTATTTATACTTGTGTAAAAAGACTCATACGGTAAAACTCACCCACACGTGCTACTTCGACGAGTACCTTCACACATCCGAAAAGGTGACGACGTACAGCTTCATGTAAACTATCCTCATTCTCCGCGAGTGTTATGCAAGCTGGTAAACTGTCTGCGAGTTCTTCGAAAATTGATTTCAATTGATCTGACAGACCGCGGCGCAAGGCCTGATAGAACTGATATAAAATACAATCGTTAACTTGCATTGGATATCTCCTGTCTTAATCCCTTCTCTCTGGCAGCCAAAGTTTCTGTGTATAACATTGGATCTTGCATGATATGCAATGAAAGTCTGAAACTAAAACATAAAGTAAATCAAGGGGACAATCATGTACTTTCTATTTCACAATAAACGCGGATTTGCAAATCGGATTATTTGTAAAACGCTGGATTATTCAATGTTTTTCAAAGTGCATGCATGAACTCAACTAATTGGTAAATTCAGTGGGCAATTTTTAAAACAAGAAGAAATTGCTTTTTGCATTATCGAATTCCCTGAAATAAATTTATGCATCAAACGATTTCTCTGGAGTAATTAAATGAAAAAAACCTCTTAACTTGTACTGGAACTGTTTCACAAATATACAAACGAAATAGGCCTTTGAAAAAATATCAAAACGTTCTGTTGTATCCACGAATGATTGTTGATCAACATTTTCAAAAGATACAAATAGGAATAAATTGTGCACAAGTTTCAGAATGTTCTTTCAAAGATCTCCGCGGCCTAATTGGAAGTGGTGAAATACCGTGAAGTAAAGTTGATTCATCACAGTCAGGTTCATAAATCACTCTTCAATCGCAAGAGTGAGAGGTCTGTAAGTAGTAGCGGATTTTAGCCCAAGGGGCACTATGCCTGGCGGAACATGAGAAACGCCACTGATGGAGGTATTCAAACATTTTTATACCTCGAGGCTACAGCGTAGAAACGGTGATGTTGTGCTCCAGTTTTCTTGGTGAAAAGAACTACTTTTAGAGCTAAAATCCCCGGTTATGAGGATACTATGATCCTTTGTCTATTTTCGTGCCTTTTCCTTGTGAGTTTTATCAAAGTTCAGCCTTCGTCTTTAAAGTCTGTTAAACAGATTACTATACGTTTTAGTTCAATTCAGTTCAGTTTGCACAGGACGAATATGGTTCTTGCCAATCGAGCTTCCAGTTCATTGTAGTGTCAGTGGATGGGAGTAGCTTTCAACACTCGTACAGTTGATTTGGTATTTTTGATCCTCTCAATTTAGCCTCGTTTCCAGAACATTGTCTCCTTGGGGGTATGCTGAAAGGGAGGAAGACGAGCAAGGATATCTCCTCGCCTCATCGCTTAGAGACCTCAAGTACACATGCGTTTGTATACACATACATAACACCTC